AACAAAAGATTTATTGTCTCCATTTAATGCTTTGAAGTTCTTACAATGCTTAAGGCACCAACACGTTCTCCATAAAGACCCAGATTCTTTGCATAACTTTGTGCTACCAGCAATTCACCCCCATCAGCAACAAACAAACGAACAGGCTGGGCATCTGCATCTAGACTGCCGCTAGCAAAACCCTTTTGAAAAAGAAAAATGATAGATTAAAAACATTGTTTAATCAAAATAGCCATCTGGAACATAGTAAGATTAATTCTTGTGTAGACATGATTCAACAATGACATTGTCAAGAAAAGGAAGCTAAGCACTCAAAGTTCGATTTTTTTTCTGCCCATGCAAGACATCAGGATTCCAAGAGATTTCAACTAGACATATTTGAAATTTTAATATAAACACAATGCTCAATGTAAGAAGCGAGAAGCAAGAAATTAGTTGCACGCAAAAGGCTTGCCTGATAAGCACTGTCAAAGAAGGGTAACAAAGCTTTTGATCTTATTAGCTGCCTAATCTGCTCCCATTGCTCAAGGGTTGGATCAACACCAGTGGGATTATGCGCGCATGCATGAAGCAAAACAATAGATCCCGATGGAGCAGAACCAAGATCTTCTAGAAATCCTAAAAGGACCAGAAGGTAAAATAATATTAAATAAACATGATGAATAAGACATTGATCATGAAAACATAATTAATACACACTTCACAGCTTGATACAGTCATTTCCAACCTTGAAAGTCAAGCCCTCGTGTTGCTGGAGCATAGTAGCGATATGTTTCCACAGACAACCCCGCTAAGTTGAAAACCTTGGGATGATTGCCCCAAGTTGGTGTTGGCAGGTATATAGTCCGCTGAACAGACAAGTCCAGTAAAAAGCGGTAAAGTGGGCATGGGCATTAAATAAATATCAGCTAAAAAAGGAGGCAAAAGGACAAGGCACTTTACTTGGTGATAGTGTTTAGCCAAAAATTCACCCCCAACTCTTAATGAACCAGTTCCAGATAAGCATTGAACAGTGGTAACCCTGTTCTCTTGAATAGCAGGGCTATAACAAGACAAGTAAGCATAAACAATTAGGTACTGATGAGGAAAAATCTTGACAAAGAAGAAAACTCTTTTTTTACTATTATTAACCTGTCAGCCCCAAAAATAAGCTTAGCACTTAGTTTATTAAAATCAGCAAGCCCAACAATTGGAAGATATTCCTTGTTGCGTGACCTGAAAATAATGCAGAACAGAACATTATAAAAAGTTCCGCACAATGTCACTGGAGACAACAAGAAAGCATAATCAGGGACTAACAAGTCATTTATGAGTTGCTGTTCAACCTTCCTCACTACATTCAAAACAAGAGGTTTTCCTTCCTGGAACAATTTACAGTATTAGTAAAACTCACAATTTTCCAGCTGAATAATTTACTAGAATTTTCAGTAGCCAAATTAAATGCACAACGATTACATAATTAAGTTTACGAATTAACGTAATCTAGTTCATCTCGTTCTAAATAAATTAGTAGACGTAAGAAACAAACACAAGTGCAACCAAATATCACTCTCACCTCAGTTCGGTAAGCACCAACGCCCAAGTTGAGCTTAACTGGACTTGGATCTTTGTTATACGCAACAGTCACCTATTTTTCAAACACGCAAACAGAGTCAACAAACCAACCCAAACCAAATAATAACAAAACTATAAAAAATTCGTATGATTAGACGCCTCAGCATCAAAATCACGCGAACTATTTTCAAACGCAACGCAACACGGCATGGGCGAAACGTGCCGTGCGGCCTCGAAATTCATACGTAATCAAACACAGTACACAGCTCAAGATCACACTACGAAACGATAAATTTCAACAATAATCTAAACCTGGATTCATTAAATAAACTCAACCTCGAATGATACTCTAAAAATTAAAATTAAATTTAATTCAAATGATGTTGTTGTATAGATCGTCGAGAGCGCAATCACACGAACTCGCGGAACGAGAAATCAAAGGAAAGAACGCGATCTGATCTTAATACGTTATATAATATTAACTGCGATGAATTTTAATAAACATCGAGGCGAGACGAAAATATTACCCCGAGGATAGGATCTTCAGGTGCACGAAGGAGGTGATTGAAGACGGAATCAGAAGCAGCGGTTGGCGAAGCGGAGATGTTATCTTCAGAAGCCATTGGATCGCAAACGCTAACGAAGTGTCTGGCGAGAGTGCTGAGTCTGCGATCGCAGGGCGAAGAATAAGTAACAGAGATAGAGGTAGTTTTGAGAATAACCGGTGGGCGCATGCTGAATGTATTAAATCTATTTTCTCGGGTTTTGTTGTTGCTTGTCACAATGTAAGTGGCCTCCCAAATACAAAAGAAAAGTATTCCCTCCACAAATTACGTAGCTGGAAAAGGAAGCAGTTTATTTCATTTCATTCACATTTTCTCCTCACCATTTTATGCTAGAAGAACGAATTTGATTTGTATGTGCTATTAGTATTACTATTACTAGTATTATTATCAATAGACGAAGATTGAAATGTCGCCGCTGGTGTCGTTGAATCGGTGGGTCACGTTATCGCTTTCTATTCTTCCATTTTCTCGATGCAATAAAAGCGCGTGACATTACATACCGCCTTCTAAAATAAGCATTATTATAAAATAATTATTGAATTTAACACCAAGATATATTATATTTGTGATAACATAACATATTGGAAAGAATTATTAAATATAATATTTTCTGTACATTCGTCATAGAAGAAGAATGACAGTATGTGGTGACACTTGACTAGACTGACCCCTCAGGAGTCACGACCAAATTTTTATATTAAGTTAACCTTTTAGCATAAATCTAGCTGGATCACGTACATTCATTTAGGTATTATCTATAACTAAAGCATAAAAATTTAGAATGAAAATAAAATTATAAGATTTATTATAGTGTTTTAAAATTAATTATATTAATCCAAAAATACTCCCAGATCATAGAAGAAAAAAAAAGTATAATTTGTGTCCTCTTGCTTTTGCATTAAGCTATTACAATAATAATTATATTAATTGTAATATATATATATATATATATATATATATATATATATTTCCTTTTTATCTATTTATATTGAATACTTTGTTTTTATTCTTTGCCCTAAGAATGCTAAGAGAGAACTTACTTTTGTAAGAATATATAAAATATTTTGTGGTTGTTATGTAAAAAATAATAATAAATTTAATTATTTGTTTTTATTAATCATACAAAATTAAATTCCAAACACATTTAAGATTATTTGTTACATGATATATCTTCGCTTCGCTTTCTTTTCTTTATTTTGTTTTCTTCTGTCGCACCTCTCATTCTTCTGTTCATCCTTCCACTTTCTCCTCTCTATATTTCTCTCATCTCTTCTCTCACCTACCTGTCTCTCCCTATATTTTGTTTTATCTACTTTTATCTTTATTTTATCTCCGTTCTTTTTTCTTGCCATATGTATTATCAAAAGTTTAATATATAATTTTCAATTTTTAAAAAATTAAATAATTTTTACATGAAGTAGAAATAAACAATTTTATTTTCAAACTAAGAATTTTAAATTATAAAAAAAATGAATTAATTTAACAAATCAAACATATGAAAATAATAAAATTTAAATCAAAACATATGGAAATTTAAATTTTAAATATATATTCCCTGGAATATATATTTCCAGTGCCTTTATGTTTAAAAAAATAATTAACTAATCCTCAAGTTTTTTAAAAAACATCAAATTTAGTAATTTGATCAATTTTGTAAGATAACAAATCATTATTTTTAAATTAATTTTCTATCAATTTTATAATGATAAAGAATGTTAATAAATTTTAAATCAAGTATAAAAAAAACTAAAATTATTTTCAAATATTGAAAAATATTTTTTCTTATTTTAATTTGCTCTTTATAAAATTATTTTTAGGAATAAATATTGTACAATTTTTCTCCATTTTAAATTTTTATTATTTTGTTTTAATAATTGTAATTTTATTTCCTTTCTATTCTTTTGATATCTATACTAAATATTATGTTTAGTGTGATTATTTTTCTTTTTTTACTTAGCATGTGAATGCTCACACCTGTATTTCAACTTGCGAGAGTAATTTGTTATATAGCTTTTATTACATTTTAAACTGAAGATGTGAAATAAATATAAAATTAAAATGAAAGGGTAAATATGTTATACTAACTAACACAAAATAATAAACATCAAAATAAAAAATAAATTAAATGAACTATTTAAAAAAAAAAATCCCGATGACAAAAACAAGAACAGTACATTTTAATCTTACCCTTATTTGAATTTGGCTGAATTATTTTATTTATCATATGCACCAGAGATACATTATGTTCTACATAAATACTTTAAATGTATTTGAAACTTTTTATTTTAATTAAATCTTTTGTTTACATTTTGATGTTTATTATAAAAAAACAACACTATTATTAAAACCTGGATAATGAGTTCAGATGTGAATATTTAAAGGATCATAGGATAGAAATATGAATAGAAACGAAGATAAATCTGTGATTTATCGTTCATACTGCTTCTACTACGTATCGTCATTGTATTTCTGTTGCAGACATCTTTCTAAGAACTTCTGAAACGCATCTCGTTCCTGGTATAGCTATAAACCTCAAGAACAAATATATGTCAAAATCCTTAAATTGATAATAACAAAGGTTTAAGACGTCGGTCAATATATATAGCTGCACAATCTATACAGTATAACTTCGTAGCTGGGGGAGAAAAAATTAGTAAAGATTAACTAAAATGAGCAACACAGGTGAAGAATTATTGACTTTTTAAACCCTCCTTTGAAATAATAAATGGTTAAGTTATTTAGTTAAATAAAATAAAGTTCAGGAAATAAAATTTTAGAATTACATGTAGAAAGCTAACTACACCCTCTGCCTCAAAACAACACACCGATTCCTCAGGGAACGGATACTACGAAATCTTTAAGAATCTAAAAGGCAGCAACTCACTCCAGCTTTATACCGTCCATCTCATTAATAACCCCTTCAAGCTGAAAATAATCAGAACAAATTGGTCATCTCAATATATAAAAGGGAACCGTAGAATACAGTAAAATTATGAACCACAATGCAGATGTTGCATACCTTGACAATCTGACGCAAAAAGTAATCACCATAACGTTTGGCAGGCTTAGACTCCACGACATAAATTGTGTCCTGCAGAAAATCGAAGACGTTCAACATTTGCAGCACCATTTTAGATAGAAACTGGCGAATTGCCACAAAGTTCAATTCCAGAAGCCTAATTTCTCTTGACACGGGGAAAATCATATGAACTCCTGCCCAATGTTTATAGCATTGGCAAAAGTTAGGGAGTATCAGCATTGTCGTCCCTGTGCACTAGTTTTATTCTTAGTATACATAGAAGTAAAACATAAGCCAGTTGATTAAAACACAAAGGACAGGGTCTATCAGATTCAAATCAACAATGACCATAACTGGTGTATCCAGTAACACTGCCTCCGACATGCAGATGGTGGTCTAAGCTCAGAGACTTGATCCTTAATTCAGCAAAGAATTTGAGAGCAAAATCTATTATTATCAAAGAAACAAGTTCAACTAAAATGGACACATGTAACAATATAGCCCATAAAATCTATAAGGATTTACAAACAGCATTTGAAATAATAATAAATGCAACGTGAAAAGAATCATTCAAGAAAAAATTGCAAGCAAGCTTACATCATCAATATAGAAATCTACGTCCGCATTGGATGTAATTTTTAAATCACTATCAACAGCATGTGTCTTGTGCTTGTATGTCATCAAGATAGTCCTACCAAGCATCAAAATAAAAAATACAGGAATGAGCTTATTGCACAAATATATTATGAACAAAAAATATAGATAATCAAGGGGGGTGCTTAAATCATTTGTTGTATTACACCTTAAGGTAGGTTCGTCAACTTCCATATAACTCGCAAGTTTTGCAAGGGAGATTGTTGAGTACACTTTCAAGAAGGTCCGGACACCTGATAACAACTGTTGTTGTTTTGCTTCATAAAGGAACAGTTTCAATTGAAGTCTATAGGCATCTTGATTGTAATTGACTAGAGGCTCCTCGAAACTAGGAGCTGAAGGGGTGATGAACTTAGGGCATGCATATGAGAATAGCTCATCATAGATGGCAAATGCCTCATCATCATATCTCTGCATTCGAGCCATCTTTTCACCATACTTCTCCCGTAACTGAGAATTCACAGTTTCATCAACAAGCCTGCTTTGGGGGCAGAGTGAAAGGCAAATTGCCAGCAAGGCATACATTTGTTCATTCTTCTTCAGTATCTGCTCATATTGGGGTGATTTCTGGTGATATTGTTTTGTCTTGAAGATGTACAAGAGAATTTTGTTAAATTCTCGAATTGCTTCCACATATCTGTAAAAGTGCTATCAGTTAGGTCATGCAATGAAATAAATAAGGGGAAATGATGACATGAAACAATATCTTCTAGGATAGAATTCCTCAACAGACCCATGAAACCTTCTAACAGTTTGTTAGAAGTACATGGCACTCCAGAATGGATGAGAATTTGCCCATTTCAGAAACTAAAAAGCCAAGAAAAAAGACAAATTCCAAATCACACATTGTAAGATCATGAATTGATTGATTCACATCGGGTTCAGAAAGTGATCATAAGCATTTCGATTGAACCAAAAAATCAATCTACTTTCATTAAGTGATAGTAAGAAGTTTTTAATTTAATTAATGTAAATTGTTTGTTCTACCAACATTAGAAAATTTCAAAAATAAAACTAATAATTTAAAACAACAGAGAGATTAATGAAGTCGATCGACAGCACTACCAATCTACAGTAGCATAATAAGGCCATTTAATCAATGGGTAATGCATACAGAGCAAAGGTGCCTCAAATGAACAGATGAATTAGAATAGATGGCAAATTTCCTTTCACAAGCAAAGGCAGGAGACATTCACTATCTTTGTCACAAATGGCAAAGTCCAACCAGCATTGTTCAAACACCAAAACAAATTTATTCAAGAGCATTGTCAAGCTATCAGTTCAAGCAACCCATGTGATTACAAAACATAGTGATATAAATAGTGTTACACAATAAAAGTATTACCTGCGGAGCATGAGATTGGCGAAACCATAGTGATAAATGGTGGTGATGTGACTCCCAATAACACTAGTATAAACCCCTTGTTGACTAATATCAATAGGAAGCAAACACTTGATCCCAGTGTGATAATCCCCCAACAAGCAATGAACCCTGAGTAATCCCACCATACTAAAATACCCCAAGACCTTCAGCACATTACTCCCCCCATTGTAATCGTACCCATCCGTGGCCGTAAACTGCACGAGTCCCTCCTTCTCCTGCTCCAGAATCTGAATAATGGCACTCTTCTCCACCAGCGCCTGAAGGAAGTTCAAAACCCCATAAACATTCCAGGCCTGGTCGAACTGGCGCAAGAGTGCGATCTCCTGTTCGGTCTTGTTCTTCATCTTGGCGCGGTACTGGCAGAAGCTCTGGAACTGGTAGACGAACTCGTCGACCATGTCCCAGAGCCATTGGTTGGGGAGCTGCATATTGACGACGCCGTGGAGGACGACCTGGAACAGGCTGCAGTAGTTGTCCCAGGAATCGATGCGCTGGCGGAGCGTGGGTGTGAGGCGCGCGTAGAGGTGGCGGAACCACATTTCACGGTAGAGTAGGCAAAACACGTGGTCATTGTCTACATAGTGTGCAACGGCGTCAACGGAGGGCCACGGCGTGTCCTTGAAGAGCCGCTCAGACAGGGTCTGGAATGAGCTCTCATACATCTGGTGGATCTCGTACACATTCTTCTCGCGGATGTGACGATAGAGGTGAACCACGAACGATTTCACAGAATCCGGGACGAAGTTCGGGTCGTACCCGAGCTCCTGCGGCTGTTGGCGGTCTTCGTAGTCCTGGTTCGCCATGCTTTGAACGGGGTTTGGGAGGGGAGAGAGGTACTGATTTAGAACTAGGTTAGGGTTTGTGCATTCGCAGTGAAGGCGGAAACTGAATGAACGTTTTTTTTTTTTTACCAACAAAATAATAGTATTAAAAATGTGAAGTTGATCAACATATATTAACGTTATTCAGGCCTGCCAAAAGGTATTGGGCTTATTTTATCTAAATACCCACCATGGATGGAGTCATGACATTTCATTGGGAATCATTAAGTTGGATAAAAATGAAATATATATATATATATAACAACATTTTAATATCTATATTTCTTTTTTTTACCGTTTATAGTATGTCATACTGATTAGAAAAAAATAAATACCAAAAATACTGTTGCACAAATTGAAGTATATGTATCACTTCAGACCATAAAATTGTTGTGTTGCTTTGGAAAAATTTGAAAGGAGATAAAAATTATGAGTAAAATAGTATATTGGTTGTTATATGATGTTGATTTCCCTGAATTTATTAAATCTAAGAATATCCTACAATACAATCCTTTATATTTATATTTATACTTTGTTACTCTAAGTTTTTAATTTAATTATTAAATAAATTAAAAATAATTTCTTAGTTATCAATATTTTAAAAAAATCTATAACTGTAAATGTAAAGTCAATTAGTTCTACATATCTTGGTTTTTATAATTCTTTATTTAAAAACTTTTTTTAATTAATTTATAAATACTCATTCAGCATCAATTTCTCTGATCTTATCAATTGTTTACCTTTCATGAGATAAAATGTTATATTTTAATTCAATTTAAATTTTTAAAGTGGACAAATGTATTTGTAGTAATGAAGATTATAATAAAAGGGTTTCTAAATCAAATAGATTTAAATGTTCATGCTTTAGTTTGGCTTTACACGGATTTATTTATTTCTTGAAAAGCAATTATATTAGAGACAATAGTTACAAAAGCATAAAATTGCAAAAACAAAAAGGCATAGAAAAGATCAGCGAGCTGTTCAAGCAAATACTTTGCCGTCCACCTCAGGAAAGTCAAAGTTTGGCCATTCCCAATTTAGTAATTATTCACAGACTAAACTACACAGTATACCAACTGGACCAGATGAAATCGTAGTTCGAAGTTGAGCATCAATCCATACTCCGTTAGTCAACATTTGTTTTCGTCATATGATACATGTAAACATTTTTTGTCCAAAACTGTTTTCCATACCATACAGCATTCTTTAAGGCATGAAGGCTGGAAAAAATTATGTGAAGCTCCTGACCCTGAATTTATCGAGTTCAGTGTCTTTGCCTGTTTGAGTTAGTACGTATAGAATCATCATAGCTGTCAAGTTCGTCTTCTTCGTCAGAAGAAAGAAGGGATGGACCCATCCATGCTTTAAACCCTTCATTAACACGCCTTTCCACCTCTGGGGTAACTTCCAGGGGGTTCGTTTCCAACATTTCCAGCCCTAGATTTTGACCACTAAAATTTCCCTCATCAAGAATTGTGGCTGCCTTTCTCCTCAAGAAGAAGGCAGTGCCCCCATATAGTAAAACCAGTCCCCACGATGTAATTTCGTAGCACCAAAACAGAGGTTTAGAGCAGTTGCTCACCATTGTCAAGAGGCTTGAACCAAGAAACAAGGCAAGAAGACCAAAGATGATAGCAAATATAAGGTTTAAGATGGATAGACATCGTACACCACCTGTAGGTTATCCAAAGAAAAATAAAACTTAAAATCAAATTTGGGCCAGTAAAATGCTCAAGTATTTTTATAGAAGAAGTCATACCCCTTCTTGAAGCACAGTAATTATTTTCAACCACCTTCAAGAATCCATGCCTTGTTGGAGCAGAATATGCAACAGCTATGCCTGCAAAACAATTATCATATTAAAAAAAAAAAAAAGCATAACAAAAAGATATTCCCCATAACAAACAGAAATTTAAGTGAAAAAAAGCTTTTAGAACTAATAAGACAAGTCATTTTAACCCAAAAACAGAAATTTATGTGAAACAAAATAATGCATCAGGAACAATTACATGGGAATTTATGCAACATGTTTCTAAAAACTGGACTAGACTTAAAATTGCATTTTTATATCCCTTCAGTTTGAACCATACCCATTTTGGTCTTCCTAATTTTATCAGAGCCAATTAAACCTCTCTATTTATGATTCTCAAATACTCCCTAAACTATTTTTTATTAGGTCTTCAATAATGTAATTCATTTTAATTGAGTTCTAAGGGTTTCTAAAACAAGCACAAATCGTCATTTAGTGGACGTTTCATTCGGCCCAAAAGTAACCAGTGACCTACTTATAGACTACGGGCCCAATTAGAAAATAGTAAAGGAGTCTGTTTGAAAATTTGAAAATAGCTTTAGGACCTACTGAATAATTTAACCTATTCAAAAGTAAGCAAATTAATTCCCTTTTAAACTTATTTTATTACCTAAAGCCCTCAAATGCTCATTTCCTACTCAATCTTGATAAAATGAATTGGCTAAATTGTCTTTTGCTCAAAACTCAACCAAAACATTAGATTTCCCCACAAAAAACCCAAAATTATCTCTCTTCAAACCTTAATCTTTATCTTTCAAAATCCTTCAAATTTTATCAAGTTTGTACTAAATTTCTAACTTCGAAATTTTTAAAATTATTTCATATCCATAATCCCTTATCTATCCCCAAAAATTTGGACAAAAATAAGACTTAATTTGTCAAGATAAATGTGAAATTAGGCCTAAAGATTATACCACAGCCAAAGAATAGATGAATTATTAATCAGAAGCTGTACATTGCAGTTCAAAACGAGATTTGAATTAAGAGGGGGGGCGTAAGATATAGGGACAAGAGAGCACTCTTTTGGCACCACAAACCATTGACCTATATAAGTTCAACATCATGAATTCCAAAACAAAGGCAAAAGGGATTATAAGTTCTGCAAAAACTTAAGCTACAGAAATGAAATATATTTCAAAACATAGTTATCTGACTAAAATAATCCACATTATTTAGCAAATCTGTGCAATGAATCCCCATGGTTAGATCTCTGGCATTATCTAAAATTTCAATGAAAAGGTTGGGGTTTTATATTGAAAATAAAAATGTGAAATACTCTACCAGAGTAATTGATGATGTTTGTGCGACTATTGGATTCCCAAATTTGTAAAGTTTTCTCAAGTTTATAACAAAAAACATTTGACTTACATGCAATTGTGCTGCAAATCCAAGCTTTGAGAATGTAGCACTTACTCTAACAAAGTGCCAGAAAAAAATTGAAAACAAGCGATCTACTTCCCCGATACTTCCCCTCAAGAATGCAGAAATGTATGGCTTCCAATTATCAAAGAGAATAGTACTATGGTCCCATTGATCATATCAAACTTACTGAAAATAACCCACGTGCTACATCAATGCCCATAGATACTCCCAAATTTTAGTGAGCATAAACTAGACAAGTCAAGGAAGATATCAAAATATTTTGCCTTCTAAATATCACAGTAGGGACAACAGTCCAAGAGCACTGAAGTAATTTAATTATCAATTCAACTGGCACCACGGCCCATGTGAGCTAAGACTCCTGTCTCTATCTCTTAATCCTTTATTGACACTCTAAGACTTTTTGTTTAAAACCTAACTCAATTCCATAAAACCAGCTTTTCAGTAAGAGTTGCTTAATTTTTATAAGCAGTATTCAAGTTATCCCCAATCTAGTGATCTAGGTTGCAATTAATGCAGGGGTTAAAGTGACAGTAATCAAAATGATTTTCCAACGGACACCAACCATCTTGCTTCAATTTCTTATGAATGTAGTTCAATTTCAAGGTTATTTCCTTTTAGCTATGATATGATGTAAGAAGTTCATTTCCTGATCAATCCCCTAGAGACTTCATATTTAACGCCAATCGTGAATTACATTTCCCCCATAAAAGGCAACATCTACAGTACAACTCTTCCCACAGTGCTTCTCTAAAAATCATTTTCAACTGCCCCCATTCTTGAAATCCTCTAACGCCAAAAATACTCACTAAACCATTATATCATAGCCATAAACGTTTTAATATCAAACTTAGAATCAATATAAGATGCCAACAACTCGGCATTAGACACCATTTATCTATTTAATGCAACAAAGCAGCACCAATATTAATCTTCAAAAATTGTGCATTATAGCTTTTGGCAAAAATCTGTAGAAAAACGTAACCAAACGCCCCAAAGAAATCCAATTTCTTACCGGCAACAAGATACACAACCGAGAGCGCGAAAACGATCATCGATGGAATAAACACAACCATCCAGTAATAATCAGCAATCTCCTGGTCCGTGAGATAGAAAGCGCCGGGGAACAGATCGGAATCGGAATCTCCTTTCATCCCTATCTGTATAGGTTGAAGCCTTCGATCGACACAGAACGCTCTTCTCCCATCACTACTAGGAAACACGATTTTCAAACTGACAACGGTGGATACGAATATCGCCAGCCAGATGGCAGCCACGGAAGCCATGGTCACGGGTCTCTGAAGCTTGCCCCACGCTTTCTCTTCTTCCCTGAGGCTCTCATACTCGCGCTTGGGCATGAACGCCTGGCGAAGCGCGTCGCCTATGATCGCCATTGAGAGAAGTAGGAAAAATCAGAATGACAATAATATGCAGAATCTAGGGTTTTGAGTGTGCTCCGAGATCGACTTTTCGAAAACCCTAACACGCTGGTCCGATTAATCAATCAATCATGTTTAGGTAAAGGATGTATGGCTTCAAAAAAGTGGGATTTAGAAGATGGTAAAGAAAACTGAAAATAGTGACAGTGATAGAAACTTGTAACTGGGAGCTTAGGTTTTGAATTGTGAATTACTAACAGATTGGAAGTTGAAAGTAAAATTGAAAAAGATGATGAAGATTATTCGATTTTCGATGCTCTTGAAAATTCTTTAATTTCTTGAAATATGCTTTTTATTTTTAAGTGACAATGGCGAAGTTGCTTTCAGAATGCAGAAGGCATGCTAAGCTTTATTTTTATTTTTTTCCTTTGTCTTTTTTTAGATGAATAGTTACTTTTCCTTGTTATAGTTTATTACATCTTTTAATTTTTAGTTTTTTATTTTATTTTATTTTTAGTTTTTTATTTTATTTTATATTTACACTATATGGTTAAAATATGAATTTTAATTTATAATAAATTTTGTAAGATTTGTATCAAATAAATTTTATTGATCAATAATATAATTTGTTTACATTTATAAATATTATACTCTTCTGTTATAAAATAAATTTTAATTAGTTTACGTTATAAACATTTTATAATAAAAGTACAAAATATTAATTAGTTCAGTTTTATTTTTCAGAAAGAGTAAAAAACTTAAAACAAAAATTATATTCTTCTTTATTAATGTCCCCCATCATACACTTATAGCAGTATTTATAAGAATTTAATCATACACTTATAGGAGTATTTATAAGAATTTAAGTTAAAACGTTAATATACTATTTTTATAATATAAGTTCATCTGAGATTAAAGATACGTTTGATTCAATGAAAAATATAGACTAAAAGGGAAATAATATAATAAAATGGGAAGAAAATTTATTTTTTGTTTATTAATAAAAATTATATTATAATTTACTATTTTATAATATTTATTCTTATAAAAAATACATTAGAATTTTTATTTAACTTTAAATAAGTTTTGTTATGCATTAATATATACTAAATTTTTAAAAGTTTTGTTCTAATATTAATTTTTATAATTTTTTATTCATATTTCTTTTGATAATTTAAAAATAATTTAATATAATAATTTTATTTGAAATGATAATAAATGTTAATTTTAAAAAAATATAAAATTATTTTTTAAAATTAAAATATAAATATATATATATATATATATATATATATTTAAACAATTATTATTATTATTATTATAATATATATTGGTGTTATTTGTTAAATAAAATTAAAATATAATATTTTTATAGTTGCTAGTCTTGAGAATAATTGACTTAAAAAATTAAATTTAGTTTGTTTTAAGAAATATGGTTTGAGATATGGATTATCAAAATAATAAAAATGTTTAAGTAAATATTTTTGTAAGATAATTTTTTTATTTCTCATTTTTTTATAAATACTCTTGTTAATATTTTAAAATGTTTATTATCATGAAAATCAATTTTATTATAATTATTGTTGATAAATAATGAGTTAAAAATCTAACATACTTTTACATATTTTGTTTTTTACCTTCCTTTAAACTTCCTGTGAAGAAAACGTGCGAAGAAAATGTGTAAGAAAACATATGTTTTTTAAATCTTTTAATTTCATCTCTCCAAAATAAATATATAAATTATAATCATTTTTTATTATTTTAAAAAATTAGATTTTTTTTTAGTTTATGTTTTAATCTCATATTTTATCTCATTTTATTTATTCTATTTTTCTTTTTTAATCAATCTTTTTAATAAATAAAAGGAAGTATTAAAATTTTAACTTGTTTAAAAAAGAAAAACTATACAATATACAAACACAGCTCAAAACAACTTTTGTTAGATGTCTCAGTCACAAAATTAAATAAAATGTAAAAGATTTTTGTCTTTCAAATTTTTGCCACTTGCAATAAAAAGTAACATGTCACTTCTATAAGAAACATAAGAAAAAAAAACAAAGATGAGTACATATATCAATGTGTGATGCACTCCAGTGGAAAAAAATCAACCACCCTCTCCCTCACCTTCACCTCACACATCATGCAATGCCTTTTCTTCTTCACACCTCATGCTTCATCCTCAAACTTTGTTTCACACAGGCTGCATCATATATTGTGTTTTTGTCTTTTTACCCATTCAAGGGTAAATGCATGTTATATGGATAACCACAATTTAAAATTTTAAAATTGGGTCAAATTTGAACCTTAAACCCATGAGTAATCTTTAAGTTTCACATTTTCTGCTTTTGTATTTTCTTTCAATTCTTATAACTTTATGATGGATTTTGTGATTTTTAAAATTTTTCTAATTTAAGGTTTCTTTATTATAAATGCATACCTATACTTCTTTCATCTTAGTAAACTTGAGAATTTTTAGACTAGGTGAAATATTAACTTAAACATAGGTAAGTTACAAAATTAGAGTTTATTGTAAACAATTTTTACTTTCTTTAATGTTCTTTATTCTAGTGTTAATTAGGGTTTATGATTAAGTTAAATCTCTTTGTTTTTTTATTGAAAATATATATATATATATATATATATATATATATATTATTGTTTTTACTAAAATGGTCATTTTTTTCAGTATTTTAAATGTTTATTATATGAGAAGCGCATTTATGGAAATGATAATTTTTTTTTAAAGTTCGTATTGCTATTTCCTTAATAAGGTGAATATTTTACAATGAATATTTCCTTCATTTTCTTTATGTTTATTCATTCCCTACTGTTTAAACTTATATATATACCTGCCGAATTTTGTTATTTGTTGTTCCTGTTCAAACTTATATATACATATGTTATTTTATTTGTTATGTTGAGTTTCGTTATTTGTTCTTATTGTTATTCCTGTATTATTATTATTATTATTATTATTATTATTATTATTATTATTATTATTATTATTATTATTATTATATTGTTGTTGTTATTTTTTGTTATTGATATTCTTGCATTTGTTCTTGCTATTGTTATTGATATTATTATTTACTATTCATCACCCAACATGTAAAATGATTATCAGTTTATTTTCAAACTCAATGTTGAAAAAGAAAACTAAAATATATTGGCAAGAGTCGCATGTCTTTGGTTGGTTTCAGAGTTTCCTAAACAAAATTTGTCATTTTGCATAAAACTTGTCATATGTATAATATATGAAGGTGAGTTTGAGTCCTTATTATATATGTCATGTTTTGAATAAATTGTATATGTGATCCATTCATGCTATTAATGCAAGATGTTTTTATTTGTAAATTCAAAATGAAATTAGGGAAGATATTGTTTACTCAAATTAAAATTTTAGTGTTAGATTAAATGGTGGTTCTTATAAAACCACTTATCACCCATACAACTAACTTCTAATTTTGAATCAAAATAATTTAGTTAGTTGTACTGTTATGCTTGATAATAGGATTGAATATATACCTTTTCAATTATTATTATACTTGGATTTGCACAAATTACTTATTTGATAAGTGCATATAAACTGATATTAATTGTAATATTCAATTATTATTATTATTCAACGTTTACTATATAATAATACTATCATCATAATATTAATTTACAAATAGATGTAATGAGAATATTGACAAAAGTGGTTACTTAAAGAGTGAAAGAAAAATATTAAAAAGAAGTTCAACATCATATACTAACATGTTGATGAATATATTTGTTTCAACTTAAGTATTTAAAGATTTACTATTTTCTAACTCAATAATTTTTTTTACCATGTTCTATTTTTCCAATTTAGTTTTAAAGTAAAGTATAAGTTATTTTAGCAATATGTTAATGAGGTTGATTAAATCCCATTCGCAAGGTGAAAATCTTTCACACTTACTATTTTTTATGTTTTCCCAGGTGAATTAAATGTTATTGGTGTAATTAGTTACAATTATTGATATAATATTATTCGTATGATATTATTAAAAAAAATCAAAATTGTATGGATTATACAATGATCTTTTTCCAATGTTTGTATAAAGAAAAAGTCTAAACCATTATTTTCACATAACAATTTAAGCAATAACGTGCATTTAACACCATTACACTAAATATATATTTTGTTCCATGTAAGATTTTTGTAACTATGGAGTCACCTTCCCAAAGTTTAAGTCAAACTTTCAAGTATTTAAACAAATAATTGAAGATGAGTTATTTCAATCTATTCTTAAAAATATAATAGAATGTAAAAAAGATTGTAAAAAGATATCAAGGTCACTACTGTCTATTCATTTTAATTATATTAATTTTAATTATATTAATTTTAATTAGTATTATTCATATTTGTTATTACATGAAACAAGTTTTGTGATTATTGATATTATAGAATATATTTTTCATAATGATGATTAGTGGTATATAATGTGCATACAACTTATTTATATTTCAAACTTATTTTATTTTTTTGTGAAAAATATAATAAATATATCATGAAAGTCGTGCCTTAATTACTTTACAATGCTAATTTTGATGATCATATTTCACTTTATTTTTTCAAAGATATTGAATTTCTTACGAGAAATTGGTTTAATGTGAATTTCAGGTATCGTAGTCATTGACAAAACAGACTCAACATGTTATTTTTTATAAAGATCCTATTGCATTGCTAAAAAAATTCATGCGCAAAAAAATTGATTTATGTTATAAGATTTAATTATATATTTACGTTTAATATTTATATACATATAGTCACTATTCAATATTATTTTTATTGTTTATTAATTACTGTTAAGTACTTTTCTCATAAAATTGGTGAACAAGCCTCTGTTATTCAACGTGGAATATACATACAGTCAAATTTCAAGTTTGAACATACTTCAAAATTAAATAAATTTTATTATGATAATCTTATTATCAAAAACTTTATTAATGGTTACCATAAAATCACTAGTAAGTAGATAACAAATAACTAA